TGCGCCTCGCTCGAGGGCGCAGCCCGCAGGGCCTAGGGTTTAGGGTTTAGGGTTTAGGGTTTAGGGTTTAGGGTTTGCGCAGGTGAAGCAAGAAGCCGTGATGGAGCGGCAGCCAGAATGGAGTTTGCTGGAAAGGGCGGGTTTAATAAAAAAGGGAATGGCAGCAGCACTTGCGCAGCTGCACGGGCTGGACTCGGAGCAGCGGGCCGACGCCATCGCCGAGGCAAACCCTAAACCCTAAACCCTAAACCCTAAACCCTAGGCCGCAGGCCCTGGGGCCTGGCCCTGGGCTCGCCCAAACCGGCGCGCTGCGCGGCCGGGCCGCGCGCCCGCGCCCGCGCCCCAAACCCTAGCAACGCAGCCCTAGCTGCACGAAACCCTGGTTTGGGGTTTAGGGTTTAGGGTTTAGGGTTTAGGGTTTGTGGCGCAGAACCCCCAAGTTGTGGCCGCCCTCGTGGCCGTGCTGCGTCTCGAGGCGGACATTCAGCCAGTGCAGTACGCCTTGACCATTCTCTACGAAGTTGTCCGGGGTAAACCCTAAACCCTAAACCCTAAACCCTAATTCAGCGGCTGCGGGGCCTAAACCCTCGTGGGGCTGCAGCAGCGAAGGCCTCTCTGCGTTTGCGGTGCTGCTGCTGGGGGGGCGCAAACCCTAAACCCTGGGAGGCGCCAAGGCGTCGGGGCCGCCGAACGGCAGCAAACCCTCGCAAACCCTAAACCCTAAACCCTCGTTTGCTGCTGCAGAGAACAGCAGCCGCTACGAGGCCATGTGCGGAGCGCTCGAAAACTCAAATGTCTTCGAAGACTTTCTGCAGCTGCTGCAGCGCCCGGGGGTTGACAGCTACACGGGGGACCGCGCGGCCTTCATGCTTTCGGGGTTTATGTGGTGAGGGTTTAGGGTTTAGGGTTTAGGGTTTACCGGTGCTAGCCGGGCTGCGGGCCCGCGAGGGTTTAGTGTTTCGGGTTTTGCGGCGGCGCCTGCGCGCCAAGGGCCAGGGCTGATCAGCTGCGCCGCAGACCGGCTCCCGGCCCGCAGGCCGACGGTTTAGGGTTTAGGGTTTAGGGTTTAGGGTTTAGGGTTTAGGGTTTGTGCTGCAGCCGCGCGAGGAGTGTGGCGTTTTCCGAAGAGCAAGTCACTTATTTTGTGCAGCATTTAATTGCCAAGAAGTTTCCCGTGTCGGAGTCGGGGCGCCTTGACGCGCTAGTTAACATTCTCAAAATTGGTAAACCCCAAACCCTAAACCCTAATCCCTAAACCCTAAACCCTCGCGGGCGGGTGCGCAGCGCTACGCAGCTGCGCGCGGGATCAGGGCCCGCTGTCCGCGGGCCCTAACCCCTCTAAAACCTAAACCCTAAATCCTCTTGAAAACCCTAAACCCTCAAAGCCCTAAACCCTCTAAACCCTAAACCCTAACTGCGTTTTGGCTTCGCAGATCGATGGCGGCCGCTTGTGTGGGAGACCCCTGGTCTGCCCGAGGTGTACGCGTTAAACCCTAAACCCTAGACCCTAAACCCTAAACCCCAAACCACCGTGCGCCCGTGTAAAGAGCTAGGGTTTGTGGCACCAGGAGTACAGGGTTTACTCCGCAAGACCCAAGACCCAGGGCTGAGTGCCTACGGCCCCGGGCCTAGGGTCCAGGGTTTAGGGTTTAGGGTTTAGGGTTTGTGGCGCAGGCTGCTGAAGGACCTTTCGCTGAGCCAACCCGCGGGGGTGGTTTACAAAGCAGTGTTTTGCGTTTGGCTGCTTTCTTTCCACGAGGGTTTTCCTCTTGCAATAACAGAAGCAGGAATTTTAAAAGCTGCTTGCGATGTTCTCAAAGAATCCAGAGTCGAGAAGGTGGCTAGGGTTTGGGGTTTAGGGTTTGGGGTTTAGGATTTGGGGTTTAGGGTTTGGGGTTTGCACGCGGCGTCGCGGCGTTTCGGGGGGTTGGGGTCGAGGGGTAGGGGTTTGGGGTTGGCGCTGTCTGGTACACAGAATGACAGTTTCGAGGGTTTAGGGTTTAGGGTTTAGGGCTTGAGGTGTAGGGTTTAGGGTTTAGGGTTTTGGGTTGCGTGCAGGTGGTTCGCGTGGGCCTCCACGTGATTGAGAATTTCCTCTTGTGTGAAGACGCCGTCGAAATCATTATTGAGGAAAACGTGGCGCAGGTTAGGGTCTAGGGTTTAGGGTTTAGGGTTTAGGGTTTAGGGTTTACGTTTAAAGGTTGAAAGCTGCACTACTCCACAGCTTCATCAGAACAACCACTGCAGGGCTGCAGCAGCGGCCGCAGCAACGCCCCAGCGCTCGG